AATTGGTTTTTATATTTTACAGTACTTTTGCATACACCAGTAAGTTCTATGAATTCATTAGCTATTACTGTGTGAAATACAATCTGAGGTTAGTTTTCAAGCACATCACTAGTAAGCTCAAAGATTTTGGCTACTCAGTGAAATGCATACATATGTTTTCTGTGCCATATATCTAAAAAACAATGTATAATTTCCCCACGTGCTATGAAGCTGATATACTCAAGATAATAAACAGGATAATCCGGTGTACACAATCAGAGCTATATTATGGGACACATTTTATCCATGATAAAATGTTAGCTGAATGCCCTAAGAACAGGTAAGCAATATCAGGAAATACTATTTTCAAAACTTATCTTCATCAGACACCAATCTGTCTTAATACTCTGTTGCTATGATGTGCTTTCAAAGCATCTGGTCTGTGTCTCACAGCCAAGGGCAGACTTTCCATGAATTGACTCTTCTGTGAAGCAGCACAAGTCATTCTATAAAATTCCTTCAGCTGTTCTAAGCGCACAACATGCTGTATGTATCAACATTTGTCTGATTTTCTGTAGTAGTGATTGGCATTTCTTCAGACTCTAACCATTGGAGAAATACGAAAAAGGAGTTTCATAAATGAGACCATCATAACTGTTATTAACATTAAAAAATAAAAAGCCATGACAATCCTCAAAATCTCATAGATGAGTTTTTGCTATATCATTCTCAAAAGTCACATGTTTGACTGTGTGTTGGTTTCTGTTTGTTTCAAAAAATCCTTTTATTTGGTTCATACTCAGAAAACCTGGGTAAGGATGCATATGTGAAATAGTTTTGACATGTTTGATTGAATTACTTCTGTCCTACATTTCCTAGTGTTTCCATACAGAAGCTTCCAAATGATTCCCGCTTCATTATTTATGAGTTCTGGGAGAACAGCAACATCTGGAATAGGTAAGCTGTGGTTCTGTTACTGGATTTGTTGTTGCTTTAATACATATATACATAAAGGTTTGATGATTAGAGAGCAATTGTGTGAGCAATTGTGTACAAGAACTGAATACAAATTAACTACTGCTAATTGATCTCTCCTTATCTCCCTTATGAGGAAAGGCTGAGTAACCTGGGTTTGTTCAGCCTAGGGAAAAGAAGACTGAGGGGGGGATCTGATTAATGTTTATAATTATCTAAAGTGAAGTGGGAGGCAAATGGATGACACCAGGCTCTTCTTGGTGATATGTAACGATAGGACAGGAAGTAATGTTCTAAAACTTGAATGTAGGAAGTTCCATATAAACATGCAGAAGAACAACTTTAAGGTAAGGGCGATGGATCACTGGAACACATTACCCAGAGAGGCTGTGGAGCCTACCTCCTCTGGAGATATTCAAGACCCATCTGGATGCCTACCTATTGTATTGAAGCTTCTTTAACAGAGGGTTGGACTCAATGATCTCTTGAGGTCCCTTCCAACTCCTGCAATTCTGTGACTTCTTGCTAAATATATCACATTGCTTCAAAACAATGTAATTACTAAAGACTAAAATATAATTAAGTTTATACATAAAAACATCAGAAAAACACAGCCAATTTGAATAGAATAGAGAGAAGGGTATAGCACTGGATGAGTAACAGTTGATCAGAGACAAAAGAATAAAGAAATAACAGCTTCAGCATAGTTCAGTGATGCAGATGCAGGACACTGCAGGAGCCAAGGAAGGAGAGGGGAGGTGCAGCACCCAGCAACACACATTCACAGGGGAGCTCTGCCAAAGTCTCCCAAATGCACATCACAGCATCTCATCAAACAGATTTCCAGAATGTCTCTTTTGGTCAGACTAGCAGCTGATTTCTAGACTGTGGCAGACATATGGCTAAAAAAAGAATGGAAACAAAAAGGTTTCCCGTAACAAGTATTAAAAAACCCAAGCACTAGGTTCCTAAATCTGTAAACAGAAACAATTCTGACAGTAGATGGAGAAGTGTTAGTATCTTCCCTTTTGAACAAAGCCCCAGTTCAAAGCAGGCACGTTTACTGTTAGAAAGGGTAAGGAACAACAGTAACAAAGGTCAGCACATTTGGAATAAGAACTGGTATACTGAGTCACAACCAAGAGAAGAGCATCAGAGTAACAGTTAACTGTACAGGGGGAAAAAAAGCTCATTTAGTATAGCATGCAAGAAATTCATAGCTTTTCTGGTCTCCTCTCCCAGTATCATCACTGTCTAACTTGAGAAACACAAAATCCCTCCTATAACATGAACTGCAAAAAATTTGATTGCATAAAAATATTTAGTCCCTTAATACTTGTCTTCTTACTTTTTATTTTTTTTACAATTATTTAGCCACCTTCAAATGAATTACAGCAAGACATTCCAAAGAAGTAATGTGGACTTCCTGGAAGCTCCAGAGCTCATTACAACAATGCTAGTCCCTGGTAAACACATTTTTTTCACAACGTTTTATTTGTTGCATGAGAAGAGTTCTGCTGTATTAGTGTGTTCCTTTTATGAGTCCACTGCATATTACCACCCTTTAGTCAGTTCTGTTTTTGTAAAGTACGGAGGAGGAAGGGACTCCAAATGGTTTTATTTTAAGCAAAAACAAACAAACAAACAAACATAAAACGCATCAGCAAAAATAAACCCCACTGCTTTATTTTATATGGTACAAAGTGCTTTGATAGCACACGCTACTTAAGAAATTATCTAGAGTATAGAATACTGTCTGCAAATCATAAAATAGACTCTGTTCAAGATCTTCAGGCAAAGAAAACTGCCTCCTGATGAATTCAATTTAATCATATTTACATTAACTGAAGGAAGCATTAATTGCTAGTAATTCAGATTTGCTAACCAGTTTTACTGTACATGCTTCCTGCTGTGTTAAAATATGGGGAAAAAGCAAGGTGTTCAAAGATTACAAATTATTATTACAAACCAATAACCATACATCTTCCTTTTCAGATAAATGCTAAAAGAGACAGTGCAGGACTCTTAATTCCCCTTCTGTCTGACTACAGCCTAAATTTAAAATAAGAAAGTAAAATAAAGTGACTACCTAGCCTTATACCTGAGGTCTCTTTGAAAAGATGTTTCAGACCTTATGAGCCAAACCCTTGGTTGTAAGTCAGGATTCCTGCAATACAAGGGGATTGCATTTATGAACAAAGAATCCCTTCAAATCTTATGTCTTACTGGGAAACTGCTGGATTTAAGATAAATTTGGCTTTAGGAAACAACGCAGCATTTTCCCACACAGTCTTTGTGTCAAAGAGCAAGGTACAGACAGGAGCGTTCCAAGGGTTGTTTATTCACAGCTAGAGGATGTACAATTAATACAGAACAAAATGGAAACATACATTGTTTATAAATGCCTCAATAGAGAAGCATGTGAAATTGGATGCAGAGTGCATGCAGGTGCCTGCAGAGGGGAGTGCGGCCTGCAGTTGCCATGGAAACGCCGCATCTCGGCCTGCGCTCCTCAGGGTTGGGGCAAGCAGAAGTCACGCATTCACAGCATTCCGTACAGCATCTGGAATTCACACACCAGACTAGATAGCTCATTTTTGTTCTTTTTTTTTTTTAATGGGAAATGTTCCGCATACATAAACTACACGGATTGCATTTCTGTTTGAAACGCAGAAAATGTTTATAAAGTAAAAACTGGTGGCTGCAATATTACAGGTGTATTTTATGGGAGAATTTTAGATGAAGTAAATTGAAATCATTGTAAAATCAGGAAGAAAGAAACCAATCCATTCAACTAGTACAAGATAGGCCTTATTCTATAAACTGATTAGCTCAGATGCAGCTACAACTTTTGGCACACCTGGATTAAATAAGAGTTGATCTGATTCTAAATCACCATCTGAATCTGCTGCAAACTTTACATACAACATGAGCCTTTACTCAGCTGATTAGTTCAAATGAGTACAGATGTGCAGCAAAGAATGACTTGGGAAGATGTGGTGTTTGAGTACCGTTATTCATTTACTATCAGTTAATAGGAACTGTGACTATTACAACTTGCACTTCTGTTGCAAGCAGACCAAGTTACTTCAGGGCATTGCGTCAGGGTGCCAGGTATCACTCAGTTCACCTGCATGGAGTGCCTACACTTTGCCTAAATGCAAAATCAGGATTTGAGGATATTAAAGTAGCTCTCAGTGAAGAAAACAAAACATTGAGGAAAACTATTGAATATTTATGGCTCTATAATCCATGACATAAACTGTTATACTGGCATTTTTGTTGTCAAAGTTTATTAATCCAGTTATTAATCCAGTGATGTGTCAGAGCCTACTAGACTTCAATAGTTCACAATAAAGTAGGAATCTTAACCATCTTCTCAGTATACTTCTTCAGGAATAACTTGTTTTTTCAAATAAGTGCCAGAAATTGACAGGTTTATGGACACAGCCACTGGAACAAATTGTGTTTATGAATTTAATCCCCAAACTGTACAGTGCAAAATGAACAGTCTCTTAGCACTTCTCCAAGAAGGGCACTTGGCACCTAAGATACAGTCACAATCCCCTCCTTGCTTCCTTGTCTCTCTCCATAAATCTTGCTGTTATTCTCTGCAAGATTTCAATTTCCAAAGGCCAATGTGGAAGGGGTGTGGGGAAAGAGCTACAAATATGTTTCACTTTGGCTCTATGTATAATTCAGTGATTGCACTTTCCTCTTTATGAAAATGACATTTTACAAGTCACTGTGAGGCAAAACACTCTTAAGCCTGCATAAAAATAAAAACAAAACACTGGCATCGGGATTGAATAATGTCACCAGGAATGAAAGTCACTGAAGGCAGTAGAAGCACCCAGGGGACACTGCTCAGCAACAGCACTGTAACATGCAGCACAACAGGCAGCCCCTCGCAGTGAGAATTTATGTGGTTTGCTCTCTGGGATCTGGGTGCTTAATTCTGTGCAAATCCACCTCAGACATGTTAATACTTCTCTGAATGTTATCAAAAAGAGATCTAAATTTTTGTGTTATTGCCATCCTCCTACCAATTATGATCAGGTCTTTTAGTGTTGCATGTGTTCTTCCCCTGCCTGGAGTGGTTCTGTCCTTGAAAGTGTGCAGCTGTTGTATAGCTGCATATATAATGACCATTCCTTTACACCAGCAGTGACTTATGCATTATAGCTATTCTATTTAGAAATTTTATGTGATAGAAATACGGTATATGTAAATACATGAACTCTTCTCTCTTTCAGCATCGTGGTGGGTCCTCAATAACAACTAGAAGCTGTGATTCCAAGTAATTATGTTATGTTTTTCACTACAATAACGTTGATTTAACAGTGTACCCAGGTGTGCTGGGTTAGAGGTTTATCACGTGATACTGCAACACTATGGATGTAATCTTTTCTGTTCTAAAACATGAAAAATCACATTTATTGCTTTGTGCTCTTGTGATCAGTTTAGTGAAATAATGCATTGTAAAAGCTGAAAAAAAGACAAAACTAAGCTCAACTGTTAACTGTATATTTAGTCCTGTCACAGAAAACTGCATCTTGATTGGTGTGACTGAGTATTTGTGAATACTTTTAGTCTCGCATTAATAAACAATTGTTACTTAATGCTGTTGTTTTCTGCTTGTACAGAAGAAACAGGTATAAAGTTGAAAACATTTCCATAAATGTCTATGTCTAATTTAGGAGAATAAATGAATACTTTGTTTGTGTTAATACTATCAGTCAGGAAATTTTCTGCCCAAGAAAAGACAAAGCAGCACCATTTTCTTTTAAGAGCCTCTATGGCCCCTGCCCTCTCCTCTGCCTCGCAAGAAGAAATGTGTATCTGTGGGCCAAACAGCTTTGGATCCACAGGTTTAATGTTTTACAGCTCATTTGCTTTGAGCTCTGTCTTGAACATTTAGAAAATCAGAGCAACTCCTAAAACTGGCTGTTCACTGAGAAGTCATTAGAGAAACCGCTGCTAGAGCACAAATAACCATAAACCTGGAAGCACAAATACTTTCCTCCCTAATGAGACTTCCTGCTGTCCCTTTGGCATCTGAGCAGTACACGTCACCCAGCCAGGGAAGGAAGTGACTAGTGTAACCTCAGCCCCCAATGGCAGGTTGACAAGCTCTACAAACTAAAATATTACTATCTTCACTCATGGAGCAGTTCCAGGTTATAAACAGTTGCCAAAAATAACTTGAAAGTCACATTCAACAGAATATCCTCTTCCTTGTAGTGTTTCTCCATTTTTATTTCACTTCAGCTAAAATATTACAATGTATAAAAAGCAAGCAATCTTCATTGCAGTATGGTTCTGTAATCCAGAAGCTATGGCTAAGACTAAACCTGAAATTCTTAAAAATATCACATATAGGCAATTGCTGGGGGTCAAGGCATCTTAACCACTATAGTATCACAGGAGTTCTGAGGGTGAATTAGTCACTTAAACAAAGGCATCTAGCACCTGTGAGGTACTCCAGGATACTCCAACTTGCCTCTAGCTCCCAACTGAGGACACAAGCTTCCTATAGGTTGTGTTACACATGCCAGCCCCATGCAACTGCTTCAACTATACTATGTCTCAAGTGACATCAGATATCTAAACTTAGGTGTGCACAACAGATTCAAATTTTACCTCTAGATCTTTCAGTATCTCAGCAAAATTAAATGTTTTTAATACTTTAATCCAAGGTTCTCCTATATTGAATTAGTATTAGCTGCAGCCCTAGCTGCTTTATCACTATTATTTAAGAAAAAAATAAAACCAGGTCATACCCTCCTTTAATGGCACAGATACTACTATAAACACAGAAATATGTGATCCAGCTACACATCTATTTAAAGGGCATCCTAACATCCACATTACACTCTTGAGATGAGAAATCAGCGAAAAGTTTAAATCTTTCTTGCCTTTAGCAAAGTAAAAGACAAACCGCTCATTTTCCCTTAGATCTAGTTGACTTTTTTTACTTTGCCACAACGTCCATCTGGTGTACTGTGTATTTTCTTTTCACTACTGATCTAGCAATAAAAAAAATACAGTGACACATGACACTGCTAGAGGCTAAACTGGTACTGAAAACTGACACTGTACAGTCAGGTTTATTATGTTTTTCCAGTTATAAGAAATTATCTACTTAGAGGTGCTGGAGCAGAGAAAGTCATTCTAGTAGATGCCACACATGCTCCTAATAGAAATTCTCCACTTGTTTGCTAGTAAACAAACACTTGCATGAATAATAAAAACTTGTGTACCACTTAAGAGTTTTGAGAGAGTTATACAATGAAATTGTTTCCGACACATAATGGGGAAAAAGATCAACCAAACTCTAAGACTCCCAGATGAAAAACAAACATACTCAAAAATGATTCTTCTCTTCAGAGGTTTATGTGACAAGATTTTAGCAGCACAGTTGGCTTCTACGAGCAGAGGCCCAGCAGCTACCCCAGGTAAGAGCCAGCTCTAGGTGGCTCTGAAAGGGATCTACTGCTGGCCAGAGCTGAGCCATGAGCAATGCTGGTTGGGAAAAACTGATGCACAGCAGCAGCTGGGAAAGACAATTGAGAAATGTGAGAGAAGTAGGTCTGCAGCCATCATCATCAGGGCAGAAGGAGGGCAGGAGGTGCTCCAGAGGCTGAGCAGAAGTTCCTTGCGATCCAGTAGAAGCTTGCCCACACAGAGATTTCTACAGGTAGCCCCACAGAGAATCCACAGACCAGAAGGGAAATGTAGTTTGAAGAAGGCTGCAGCCCACAGAGAGCTCCTGCAAGAATAGGCTCCAGGGTCAGAGCTGCAGCCTGTGGAGCAGAGCCCATGGTGGAACAGGAGGTCTGAGGGATCTGGCAGCAGCCAGTGGGTCTTCATGCTGGAACAATCTGCTCCTGAACGATGGGCCCCATGGTACAGAGCCATATCAGAGCAGTACTTGGAGAGCTGCAGCCTTTGGGAAACCACCCAAGAAGGATTCATTCAGGAAAGACAGCAGTCTGTGGGAGGGATGCCACACCGGAGCAGGGGCAGAGAGCAACAATGAAGGAACAGCAGAGACAAAGCATTATGGACTGACTGCAGCTCCCATTCTTCTGCACTGCTCAGAGGAAGGTAAAAAAGAGTGGATAGGAGAGAAGGTGTGCCTGCTTTTGTTTCTCACTGCTCTAGTCTGTTAGCAATAGGTAATAAATTAATCTCCCTGCTTTGCCCACAGCAGTAATTTGAGAGTGATGTTCTCTTTTCCTTATCTCAACTCATCCCAATCTCATAGTACTTACTCCTCTTGTCCTTTTGAGGAAGCGGCGTTATGGAGCTTAGGTACCTGCTGATGTGAAACCACCAGACTTGCAAACAGTATACAAATAGAATATACTTGCAGGCTAATTTTAATTGACCAACCACTGCTAAAAATAAAAATAAATAAATAAAGGCATTCAAATGATATGCTTATTAGCACAGTTGCAGGAAAAAATCCAGTATCTGTGAAAGTCATCTTGAAATTTTTCTGCACTAATTAATATTCAACATAATCTGATTTAGCTCCTGCTACCTTTTGCCACAAAGGCTGAAAAATTGCCTTCACCACCCAAAGCATGTTATTTGAGGTCTGAACTTTGGTTTTGAAGATGATTACATTTGAATGAAACTATTACTAATCCTTGTCAACTGAAAGTTATTGTCGATAAATACTCTAACTTGTGCTTTCTCTTCTAAATACTATTCTAGCTGAACAAAAATAAATTACAGCATCCACTACATACTGGCATACACTTTACCAGGGTAAGACAAGTAATGAAAAGCTGTACTGTTTCTTAATGTTGCCCATTGTTTCCAGTTAGAAAAGTGAAGAACACTGGACAGTTATTTACAAAGAGCTTTTGGAAATACAATGGTTAGTCACCTTTCACATTTTGTAAACAGGGAGACTGCAAGAGAAGAAAGGAAAAAAAAATGAATAAAACCTTTAGGAGCACATATCCTGACACATTTGAGATTTAATAGTGTTTGTTGTTCCATTATTATTGGTAAAAAAGGAGCAAACAAGGCCTCAGTCAAGTACTGGTTTAAAGTTTATAGTCAAACAGTAATGCTATGTAATGCAGCCTATTCAAAGAAAATAACAACAACAAAAATCAGTCACACCAAACTGTAAAATGATTTATTTTCACTGCAATTGTACTACCATCTCAGGTACTACAAAGTATTTTGCCTTCTGAAGCATTCAGGAAATTACAGATAGAAATAGGTATTTCTACAGACTTTGTAAGCTCCTGTGTTCATACGTAGGCACTCAAGTACCTTTAAAAATCTTGAAGGTCTACATTATATTGTAGCTCCTTCACTGATGGATTTCTCATCTTCGAAGGTACTTGTCACTTCTTGCATATGTCAACAAAAGGGTTGCTGTTTTCCTGCAAGACAAACCCTCAAGTTACTTCAGTGACAAGAGATTATTTAAACTAGTTTCCATAGGTCTGCTTATAAGCCTTTTCTACTAACACAGAACAAAGATTTTAAAAGCAGACACTATCATCAGTAACATAATCTTATTTCTAAAAAACAATGTAACAATGCACTTATGCCACCTTTCTGCATATACAGACTCATCTGCCCCAAAAACAATCCCATGCACCCCACCCTGGCTTATACCAACTCTTACTGTACTTTTCCCCTAAGCTGATTACTTGCAATTTAGCTATGCCATAACAATTTTCACGCTCAGTCTTCCCCTTCAATTTCTGCATAAGTTCTCCTTTATCTATGAACATAACCACGTAAGAGTATGTGTTACCAAAACTGATATCATATGTTTTCAAGTGAGAGATTTTGGGGGATTTAAATGTCTTTAATAGGCAAATACCCATTGTCCTTAATAGGAATAAGGTAATGCTTGTGAATTTTATGCCTCAACACACCCCAGTTAAACTTATAGAAGAACTAGCACAAATACCTTTTTCAATACTTTATTCCTTAGTTTACCTTCTAAAGATCTCTGAGTTCTCTAATTAAGTATTCATGCAAACATATAAAATCTCTTTCCTTGTCACCTCCTAATAACTTGCCCCAGAAACAAGAATGCTGTCCAGGTCCGCTATTTAAAAGAAAGCAATTGCCATACTAAAAATTAATTTCTCAAGATCAAAAATTCACAATGGACTACTGAAAGGATACAGATAAATCTATCTTAATCCAGCTATGACAGTGCAGAAAAAGGTTATTTTTCCAGTTGCATTTTTAACTTAAAAACAAAAAAACAAAAAACAGGCATAAACACTTTCAAAAAAAAAAAAAAAGAAAAAAGGAATTTGCACTCTGGCTTTAAAGCTGTAACACTATTTTCTTACTGGAAAAAATAAGAATAATTTAACTAATAAGGTGCAATTCCCACCTCCCCCTAGACTACCAAACTAAAACATACACCCTCCCTTAGAAACTCAAAGGACAGAAAGAGGAGGGAAAAAAAATCTTGAAATTCAAGAGCTGTAACTTTCCAATCTGGAAGCAGGCTTTCAAATAACTAAAACCTCGAAACCTTGAAGACAAGCATCACAGAAAGATGTAAAACATCAAATCAAGAAGACCGGATACTGTCATACATA